CTTATTAAGATGGCAAAGTAAGGCATAAGAAGTAAGTGGCATGTCAGCTTGCCACTTTTCTTGGTTTAGGGCTTTTTGGTGAATGTTTGTGAATAATAGTTTCTGTCTCTGACAATGTTCATCACATGGCGGACGAATGTTCAGCACTGATTCATTGGGGTCGTATGACTGTGAGCCGATGTCCTCTTTGCACAATTCCACAAACAAAAGTCCGAGTTGAGGCCAATCTTGAAATCCCTTCCATCATCCCTCTCAAACGAAATGAAAGCTATGCCATTTTGAATCTTCTAAATGATTCTTCGAATCCCAGCTTTTCTTCATTTCCCAAGTTATTTTTAGGAATTAGAGACCTACCATTTTTATTCTCCGAAATTAGTGATTTATTACTCTACTTCTTTGTTCTACAGTAATTACTTTAAGTTTACTGGCAAATAATATTTTCGTTTTTAAACTATATATATATATATATATATATATATATGAATTGGTAGATTGACTTGACCTAGAATTTGGCTTAGCATCATTGCTTTTCTAACGCTTATGACCAGGTTTCGAATCCCGTTGGGAGTGCAGTTGCTGCAAAGTCAAAGTATAAATTATAAAATTTGAGAGCCCTTTGGGAGATTGGGTTAAATGAACTTCAATTTTATCTGAATGCCTTTTACTCATTTAATTGTAGAAAACTCAATTATCTGGCATACCATCAAAGTAAGCGACCTTACGTCACTCTGCGTCTTGTACAAGATCTACCGAAAATTTCGAACCAGCTCGCAACTTTAAAATATCCTGAGTCATACGTTTTTCACGATTAAGTGCTAGCGAATATTGGCTCTTAATTAACTACTTTCACTTGAATGCAGATGTGAAAGGCTAGATTTTTATTAAGCAAGTTTATTCTCCTCTTTCTAGTTGACGTCCTGAAAAATAAGCGATTATTCTTTTTTTTATTTATTACTTTAATTATTCTTAGTTCATAAAGCTAGTTATATCATACAAAAAGCTATTATGCTTTATTCTGGGCATTTTAGCACATTTATATTTCCCTTTGAAAGATTCGCGCCTTTTTGTAAGTTGGTCAGTCGACAGCTTGGCTCATTTGCGCTATAAATGAATGAACCCAAAGGATTCCCAATCTACATACACATTTCTGCACATTTCTGATGCGTTTTTTTCATCAAACACGGATAAAACTCCATCATCTATTGTGCGCAACCAGAGAGATATAGTATGGCGTTAAAGAAGGCAAATCTCACCGACGATACCGCCTAAACAGCCGGCGAAACGTTTTGGAATGCACCAAGTCCACGATGCAACTGTGAGAATTGTCATAACTACAAGGTTCATCCAATTAGTTCGCCCCGACAACACCATAGGTTGCAAATAGGTCAGGCCATCATACCAATGCATCATCGGCACCAAAGAAATAGTCATATTATCTTTTTAAGGTTATCCAAGCAAGCCAAACATTTGCGTAAATTTTCCATTTATAATGTGTTCATATCGTAATAATGTTTCCGGTATGCTTTTTCTTCTTTAACATATAGTATCAGTGGTCCAATAAGACGCTGAAAAATGTGCAGCCGACTATCACTTTGGATAATCGGATTAGGCATTCTCATTCCACTTCATCAAGCTCTACTTTTATTTTCTGATCGAGGCAGGGTTTAGTAAACCAGCAAGATTTACCAAAGCTGTCTATCAAGCAAAGAATGAAGTTTATCCATTAGATTGTAACAACGCATGCCTAACTGCATCGAAGCGAGTTATATTTCATTTTAATACATCCTCATTGACCTCAATCCATTCCGATATTTATCAGTTTCTCTTTACATTTCTTTCATGTATGTAGCCCGGGTCACGGTGGGCAAATAAGGCTAGACCAAAATTATATATTTCACAATAACTTTTTCTCCTAATCAAATATCAAAAGAGCAAACACTATAAAGATAGATGCAAGGAAAATATTCGTATTCTACTAAAACTCAAGGAATTAACTAATATATCGATATAATTTTTGGTATAAGTTATCATAGCCTTAATTAGGTTTAAATATATATACACATATTTATTTATATGATATTATATCATGTGTATTATATTATATATATATATATATATATATATAAATTTAGGCCTTTCTATATAGCCTCAAAAATTAGAAATCTACCTGCAAAGTATTTATTTTCTCCTGTCCTATGCACTGTCTGTTTGTAGTGTTAAATAGGCCATCTCACGAAATAACTGGGCATAGCTGCGGGCCGTGTTGTAAGGTTCTATTGATAGAATACATTAGACTTCGATTGGCGCTGTATCATTTTGTTGTATCTGTCACCATGGGAGCTTTACGCCAGAAACCAGGCAAAAGTGAGAAGGCGGCTCTATGATGTGGAGCCTTACCTGTTAGAGTCTTTTCGTGCATGTGTTTTGCCAACGTCCTGTCTAATTAGACTCGATTTAGTGGTCCTGGCAACCGAATCGCAGGTCTACACTGTCTGCAAGCATTCACGGCCAAGATGGCCTCTTATCTGCCTCATCTTTTGCTGGGCAAGACCGGGATGTCCCTGTAGCCCATGCGACTTTCGCTGGCCGCCTGTGGACCCACGCTGGTACCGGAGATGCTTCTGACCCCCTCGGATCGCTGCTGGCTCGCCCCGCGGTCGGGCTAGACGATCAGGCGGCTGGAGGGAAGCTAGAGCAAATCTGTACGGTTTGTGTCGCCCATGCGTTTGACAATGCTGTCACACGGTCGTTCGGCGTCATGACGTCCAACAGGAGCAACGCACTCGGGCACATGTGCACCGTTCAACGGTCTACAGATCCAAACCAGCGTTTCCTGGAGCCGAATGAAGACTGCACACTCGGCCGTCAGTCGAAACGTAGCTTTCCTCTGTCAGATGCTAAGCCGTATGTTTGTATGGGTTTGTGTGTGTGTGTGTGTTTGTACGTCTGTATGCTAAACGTCAGTGCATATGTATATCTTTTTGTATGCGCTGTAGTTATGGGTAGAGACAGACGGTGAGCTGTTTTATGTCCCACGCCCGGACAAACCTCTTTTTTTCCAGGGGCATTCAGAAGGCTCTGAGTCTTGATTAACTAATTGTTGAATTGTCAACCAAATAAAATAGCATGAAAATGATGCGAAACTGTCAGAGAATCTCATTTTTCTAGCTTGGAAACCCCATTATTCGATGACTGCTTTGGGCAGTGCCTACTCTGCAACGAAGAGAAGGCCATGTCTGTTGTCCTACGACCTCATCATGTCGTCGCTTTGTTCTGCCACCGGTGGGATTCGAGCTGTGCATATGCGGGTTCGAGACAAACTTCTAAAATGGTACTGACCCCCTTAGCCTCAATGGCATGTGAAAGGAAATTTGAGTGTTGAAGGCATCGGTTCTGCTTGTCGATCTGGCCCGAGCGATGATGTGAAATGAACAGCACTTTTCGTACTGAAAGCTAGTGCATATTTTTGGGATATTACGACCAAACTGGTTGTTCAGAGTCTTTTTTGCTTTATTGAATTGGTGTGACCACATCTGCTTGACTTGAGACCACAAAAAACATTCCCCATTCTGCGACCCCTCCATTTTTGTCATGCTCCCCGGGATGTTGCTAGTCAACGGTCCGAGGCTGAATCCAACGAGCCTTAGTTCTATTTCGGCTCGAAGAATTGAGCTGATCCAAGCCAAGAGATGCAAATATAGTAATTCAATTTCGGAGAAAACCAAGCCTTGGAGAATATTAATCTGTGCAAATCAACGCCAACTCTGATCTCCTCTTTAATTCGTACCAAGGCAATAGCATACTACAAACAAGGTCATAAAAAAATTCAGTTTTCTTGATATACTTGATTGCCTGAGTAATATCTTCATAAATTCAGGTGATAAATGCGCACTATCGTGTGAACAGTCCGAACAAAATGTTTTGCTAGTATTAATGATCTGGATCACTAATAAAGCTCAAACTCTGGCTCAATTGAACGAATTTCTACCCCTTGGCGAC